ATCTTCTCATGAGATTCACTTGTGAGCGTTCTTGAGGGATGAGCATAAAATATCTTACCTCCTCAAAGGATTTGTAGACTGCTTGGAAGCTAGGTTGTTTTTCTGAATGAAAATACCCTCTGGAGCCATGAATAACTGCTACACCCTGAGTTTCGGCAGGTTTGCACACGCTTGAGTACATGCAGTGATCTGGACGGTAATTGAATCTGCAGGAATATACATATAGTTTATCTGAAACATAACAGTTACCATTTTACATAACAGGTTATGACGAAATCAAAAATATAGGAATTAGTATAACGATTACTAATGAGGATATTAAAAGTGTAACAGTGGTGAAGTATTTGGGAGTATTGATTGACCAAGGACTAACATTCAAAGAACATGTATTGAAAGTGATGAAAACTACTATCACTAAAAAATGTTATTTATTAGGAATATCATCAAAAAACTTAACCGATTATATTTGGAATGATTTTTAATATCTATTTCATCTCAAACTCAACATGGAGATATTCTGGGAATCAATAGGTTTGTGTTAACAGTTCGATGATAATTATTAGGGATCTTTATTGATTGAAAAAATTGTCATATTAGTTGAGTCTTTCCTAGGCAAAAAAAAATGAAAATCGATACAACCCAAAAGTGTAGAAATTGGAATCCATGTCAATCTAGACAAAATATGAAAGCAAATAAAGAGTTTGAAATAAGTAAATCAATTCCCTAGTTATGAAGGTATATATCACAATAGTTGCCGTTTATTCACAATTTAGACTTTGATTTTATAAGAATTTTACATTTGCTGTTTGTTAACTATTTGATTTCACCAATTCTGCCAAGGCTTTAAAAAACACTACAGCCTCAAATGACAGTTGCTTTTTTCTTTCCATTTCTTTATGACACTCTTTTCAGTAATCTGGTCAAGACGAGTATGATGCTACTTACCTTTTTAGGAAACATTACGTCGTATTTTTCAACCCTCATAGTTTCTGTCTGGATAATGCTTGAAAGTCAAAATTGTCAGAATATGATGTTAATACAGGCCTAATATATAAATGCTTATCTATTATATTTCAGATCTCATTAATGTCTAATTGGATTGAGTTGAAAAACAGCCTTGGCTGATACTCTGCCTATTCACCATATACTGAAAGTTTTTTTTTTGTTTTTGTTATTGTTCCTGTATACCATTTTATTTTATTTTTGTCTATTTCATTTGTATTTTTATGGTGTTACAGAAGTTACAGAAAGCTGTGATTTTGTATGTAAGCTAGAATTAGCACGTGATCAACAAAAAAATCAAGAAATCTGTATCCGTTCCCTCTGTACCTTGAAATAGGGGAGGCAGAAAGTTTGTATGAAACAGAGTCCTCAATTTTCAAGCCAGATACATAAATATTGGTATTCACACAATTTGTCACAAATAAAAAAATATGAATTACAGTCATCCCTTAACTTCTTATAATAGGGAATATAGATTTGTATAGGGCAAGTTGAAGGCTCAATAAATTGTTATTCATGTTGCTACAAGTAACTTACAAAAAAGAATGATTTTCCATCAAAAATATTTTCCAATTAGGTAGTACCAAAACGATTACATATTACTTGCTTACTAAAAAACGTTATCTGATCTCATTGTAAGGCAAGCTCCTTACGTTAGGGCGTATAGAATAAACGCTATAAACTTTAACTTATATGTAGTTAAAACATGTTATTATTATTATTATTATAAGGTGAGAAATGTAGAGTTAAAGCATGTCTGACGCTCTAACGTGANAGGACGGCCTAGATGTTATAGCTGCGGCAGAAAAAGAAATTTAAGGCGGGACTGTCGATCACGTCCAACATCCGACGAAAGAAGAGACTGAAAAAACCAAATTCAGCCTGCGTTAAGAGAGGTACATTGGCTACTGCATCACAAACCCCCAGGTATTCGATTTCCATGATTGGACGCAACAGTAATAGCTTGGTTGTCGAAGGATTCCTGAATAATCATCAGTGCCTTTTTATCATCGAGCAACGAGGTCAGTAATGAGAGCCGACATTTTCAACGGAAGCAGTTTGAAGAAATTATCAGTAGTATCTGTTCTGGACACAGCCACTGGAGATATATTGACAGTCTATGGAGAAGCTGAAGTGAGACTGAGATTTGGAAATTGCGAAATAGAAACTAAGGTATTACTGGCCAATATCGTCGACTAGTTCATTCTGGGACTAGACATCAAGTGCCCCTACAGATTTGTGGTGGATATAAGGAATAAACTGCTGAAAGTCGGAAATGAGGAAATTTTGCTCGACGTACCATCGCAGCCTTATGAGAGCGCCAAGGTTGTTATACTGGAAGATTCCAGAATCTCTCCTTACACCGAGAAAATTATTTAAGCGGGAATTGCTGGACCTGGCGGCTTGAGTACAGCATTGATAGAGCCATCCAATGGCTCTGAATCAGGAATTATCGTTGCCAGATCCCTCGTGAATGGTAACAATCAGACCATTCCGGTAAGAATAATCAACCCTAATAATAACAGGGTGACTTTCAAGAAAGGGCAAGTAATAGGCACCTGGGAACCGATCGTGAAAATCGCCAGAATCGAGAAAGAAGTACCTTTACAGCGTACTCAACAACCCGCAAAGGAACTCATATACTCTTTCAAGAAGACGTGGAGCCATCTGTCTGAAGAAGAACTATGCAAGACCCCCCGATTCGTCGAGGGAGAGAACGACATGTTTCTGAGGGGCAAAATCATTGGTCGGACAAATCTAGTTATACTAAGTTTATGCCGTTCGGGTTATGCAACGCACCCGCAACATTTGAAAGCTCGATGGATTTGTTGTTGAGAGGACTTACCTGGAAAATATGCTTGGTCTATCTTGATGACATTATAGTCACCGAAAAAAGTTTTGACAAACATCTTTCAAACTTGAGGAGTGTTTTCACGAGGCTACGGAATGATCATTTGCAGATCAACCCCAAGAAGTGCTGCCTCTTCTAGAAAATGGTGAATTTCTTGGGACACGTTGTGTCTTCAAAATGAGTTGAAACAGACCCGGAGAAAATCAAGGTAGTGCAAGAATGGCCAACACTGAAGAGCAAGCACGACGTAAGAAGCTTCCTTGGACTCTGTAGCTATTACCGGCGTTTCGTGAAGGACTTTGGAAAATTTGCCAAACCGCTGCATAGCATAACTGAAAAGAGAACACCTTTCGTTTGATCTCCAGACTGCCATCAAGCATTTGGTGCTCTGAAGAGACATT